CTGCCAGAAACAAGTCAGGGCTTGTCAGAGCTAAGCTGGGACTGGTTAGACATTAAGGCTGTGCTGACCAAAAAGAAACAATAAGTCAAGCAGAACCGGAGACAAGAAAATTTGCAACTAGAGATAGGATGTAATCTGGTGGTGGGATTTAATTACACGATGTTTACAGTTAGGTAAATGGATTAACAGGTAAATGGATTAATATTTGAATATAATCAAAGTGATATGTAAGTTTATGTTTAACTGCTATGTCTTCTGTGAAATGTAAAACCAATCATGTAACCTTGCTTGGAAAAGGGTATAAAAGATGCGTTCAAAATGTGGGTCTTTGGGTACCTGTCTTGGGACAGGAGTCCACAGGGACCCCGGGCCCGAATAAAGCACCGCATAAACTGACACTCTGTTAGTTTGTGTTCTCATTACGGGCAACAACAGCACACAAGCACAGTAAGCAAAACCAGTAACTTTTATTCCCTTATCAGTTCCCCTCCCATAGTCACTTGTTATCCTTCTATTGGATCCGAGTTTGCAGGTCTGGTTCTGGTTGGCTTCCCTGCAGGCCTGTTTCAGTGGCCAGGTGCTTTCCTTTCCATAGTATTAATTAGTCCTTAGTCCTTGAGGCTTGGATTCTCTGTATCTTTGTCATTCTTGACCCTTTGATCCTTGTCCTTCCCTTCCTTACCTTATGCGTGTGCTATGAGACAATAAGCTTTTTAGAAAAATAAGATACAAAATACTTATTCAGCAAGGCACAATAATTTGTCTTTCCAGTTTAAGAACTGCAAGCTGCATGACTATCAGCTTACAATGCTGACAGATTAATGAACCATTCTGCAATTTACAGTCTCCCAACCTTAACAGAACATTGATTATAATAACATATATATATATAAGAATATAACATGCAATACAATTTAATGAGTAAACTCCTACTACTAATTTAATGAGTAAATTAAACTACTTCTACTAATTTATTACATCCCTGTGCAGGGAGCACCCCCTGTGTCCATGCCCTCCTCTGAAATACACCTTGAGTACTTTCTTATCCTTCCCCCATGCTATTTTCAGACCAGTTAATGCACATTTTCATTTCCCAGTATTCTTTTATTCCTCTAAAAACTTCCAAGCAGTACTACAGGATCACTGCAGCTACAGCATCATGATCCTGAACCGTGTGAGA